TTATCAAAGCACGTGTCAACTTGATGAGAGCTCCTGGCAGGGCTCCCTGCGTCGCTGCTACACACGTTCTACTCGATCTTGTCAACTCTGAAATCTCAGGAGTGCCAGCTGGATATGGAGACAGTCCACAGAGGAACAAAACTCTGCCCACACTGTCTACCCAGCTTTGCCCTACTGCAAACTTACATGGGATGATCCTGGCATCACCCTATGCTAAAACACTTCCTTGTGTTTTCTGTGGCTACACCTCACTTTGTAACAAGGTACTGCTAGAGAATTTTTGCTGCATGAGCATCTCTCCGCTGATTGCACCCTGAAAACCAAGGACTTGCCTGATGGAGGGCCTGCTTATGGCACAGGAACAGAGTCCTTCCCTCTGGAGACCATACTGATCCTGCCCTTCCAGGCAGTATGGAGCTGGTGACAGATATTAAGGGGATAGGACAAGAACAGGGGCTGTGCTTGCTGCTTGCACCATGTCAGCCCTTTGGTTTAGCCTCTCCACCAGACATGCAGGGCTCGGCATAGCTCTACACCGATCAGCCTAAAAATCATGAGGAAAGGAGGGAGTATGCACTACCAAACTTCTGGCTGTGAAGAGGAAGTTGTAAATGAAGGTTCTTGTATTCAGGTAGCACAGGGACGTGCAGAGGGGCCATCCCCATCTCTGCAGGGTGGGAATGGGAGACAGAGAAAAAAGATGTATCTAGGTGGGTATCCGACATGGATATATTGGGCTAGTGTCCCAAACACGGAAGAATAGGGAGTATTTGTGTGATGGGGGGATGTGAGTGAGCTGGCGGAAACAAGGACACAAACATCACCCTCTGCTCTGTTGCAGTGAACTTCCCCTTCCCTGGAGTCCGTTGCTCCCTTCCAGGGAGGAAGGGGACTGCTTCATTGAGTTTTAAAAAACAAGAATGTGAAAACCGTTAAACTTGCCTCAGGAATTGAATCTGTTGAGATCATGGGCAGGGAGGGAAGAGATTTTGAAAAAAAATATTTAAAAAAGAAACAACAACCCTGAGCCTGAGCAGTGAAAAGAACAACATCCGAGGAGCTCCAGGAAAACAAGGCATGAATACAGCCAGTCAGTAGCATTGCTCAGCTGATGTTCACAAGAAGGTTCCAACTTGCTCTATTAGAGACCTCAGTAAACCTTAAAGACAGAGAGAGCATTTAGAAATGCCCCTGAGGTTTTCCGTTGCTCTGCACTGGGCTTGGTAAACATGCCAATAAATACTGGAGGGAGAGGAAAAAGCCTTCCAGAGGAACAGACCCAGATTTTCAGTTGGACAGTCTTTTGCATCCACGGCTGCTGCCGCCACTGTTGATCAGCACTGGGGAGAAAGAGGCAGAGTTAAAATTTTGCTGAGTGTTAGGTACTGCGGCTATTTCTGGGAAAAATGACTTCAGGAAGCTGAAAGTTATATCTGGAGCCATCGGAGGGAATGTCCTGCTTGGAGGTGGAAAGTTAATGGAACTCCTTCTGTCGCAGGGTGCTTGTGAGTATGGAAATCTCTCTGTTCTCCTGGAAGATGAGTAGTGAGTGCAGGCTCCCGAGCCCATCTGCTGTGGAGTAAAGAGGAGAAGCTCCCACACGTGCGGTGGGAATTGCTGCCCGTGTCGATCCAGTTTCCGATAGCCCTGACTGATAGGTAGCCTCCTAATTCTTCTAGCTGCTTGTTTTAATGGTGCTGCTCACTTCGCTTGTGGAACAGCTTGTAGTGAGTGGGGATGGCAGATCCGTGAGCTTTTGTGAGGCCGGTGTTTGGCCCTGGCCCTGGTTGTGTTTTCTTCGGGAAGAAAATAGCTGAGCTGGATGGCTCTGAAGTTGTCGTAACTCCTAACATCTTCCTCTCTTAGCTCAACCGACTGTGAAATCCACACGGTCACAGAGGAACACCAGCATCAAAACAACTGAAAAAGACAAATTGTTCTACGTGTCCTAATTGCTGGGGCAGTCTCAGCTGACTACATATATTAAATTAACAAAGGGGAAGGCAGGTTTTCTCACATCAGAGATTAATGGTTTCTGGCCAGTGGTCTAATGCTATTGCAAATGTACAAAAACACCTGAGGACGGAGGTGTATAATTAACAACTCTTTAGACTGTTGGAAATTATGTGTGTTTATCTAATCAGACACACTTTGCTCCTTTCTCACTTTCCTGGAAGTGGCCGTTAAAAGCTGCTGTGACGCAGGATCACTTCCAGATGCTGGCCTCGCCTCTTGGGCATTGCTTTGAAACCCCAATGTGCCATCTGATTAAATGTTTGTAGGTGGCTTTCATTCCAGACTCACCTCGCTGCTCCACGCATAAGGCTGTAGCTTATTCTGAGGGAAGCTGTGAGCAGCCAGAGCACTGTCTGGGATGTCGTTGTGTATAACCAGGAGCCACTGGGCACAACCCGCTGCTGCCTTCCCCTCGCTGAGCTCCTGCCTGACCGACGTGGCAGCAGCCAAAAGCCCTTTGCTCACTTGGCAGAGGGAGAGGAGACCTGGGGCCCGCAGCAGCCGCCCTGCCGCTGCACAGCCACCTCCTCTGCCCCCATGCCCACGGCTGCAGGTGGTGGGAATGTGGTGAAGCGATGGGAGCTGGGTGTGGGGTGTCTTGTGTCTCCTGCTGAGTTCATACAGGACCTCAGCTCTGTTTAAGAGCTGTGTGTCGTCCCAGCTGAATACTGGTACCACTGACACCCTGGGAAGGGTGTAAGCTTGGGCGGCATTTAGCACGAGGAAGGGGAATCCTGTATGGAGTGGGCAGGTCTCTCTGGCAGGGAGGTGGGTGGTGCCTACCCACCCAGAATGGTGTAGCACTTTCCATTTTAGGGTGGGAGAGGGCTCAGTCTTAATCCTTTCAGCTGTCTTCATGGCTGAGTGCACATCCAGCCTGTGATAATGAATGTGTTCAGCTACCAAATAACCATATCATTTCATTGGGATCCAACAGCATCAGCCTTTCCCAGCCTGTTCGCAGGAGGTGCTTAAGATATGTTAGCAAACACGTTACCTTAGATAATATATTCTTAGTAAGCATAAGCAAAAACTGAAATAAAAATGGTAAAATCAAGAATGCTGCCTGCTTTGTTGAGGGCAGCAAAGTCCTTTTTTCCTGCCTGCTCCAAAGGGACAGCAGCCCTGTGTCTGAACCCTCGCCAGAGTCAGCAGCAATCACTGACCTTCTGGGATCAAATCCTGTTGTTACTGAGCTGCTGCCAAGTGAGCAGCTGGCTTTGCAGTGCAGAAGGGGGTAGAGTTTGGTAGAAATGATGACTGCTTATCATTACGTGTTTTCCTTGCTCTCTGTGTATTCACATCAATATCTGTTCCACACCTATTCACCAACCCTGGTGACAGTCCCTTCTGAACAAAATCCTAGCAATGAAGTCACCTTGAAATGAAGCTGGTGCTAATGTGCTTTTTGGAATAGAGAGACAGAAACATGCAGAAACCTTTTCCTGATTTGACTCTTTATGGCTGCAAGAAGTACATCACTTCAAGCTGGTGAGGGGCAGTGAAATTAACTTTAGATCATTTGTAACTAAGATGTGATATATGTCCATGACCCAGCTGATCTGAGCTTGTCTTGTACCTCATGAAGCTGGGTGAGGTTGAACTTTTCAAGGCAGCTGTGTCTTTGGAATTGATGCAGTTTAGATACAACTATGGTCACATCTGGAGCCCTGGCTGAGCTGGATGTGTATCAGTGCAGGAGTCCCTGCTACCTGATGGCTTTTACCATTTAATTACCGTGTTCTGCTTACAGTCAGTCTTGAATTGGCTTATGAATTTTGTGCTATCTCTCTCATTAAGTTTGTCCAGAGAGCAGCTCAGTGGCACCCTGGGTTCGAACAGGGTCGTTGGGGGCTGCTGTGACATAAGCAATGGTGCTCTTAGGTGGTGGTGGGAAACCAGTGAATCTTTAGGTTTGGTGAGTTTGCTGTTGCAGGAACCACACAAAGCTCAGCGGTTTCCGTTCTCAGGGCTCAGCATGGGGATGGGTTTCAATTCACATGCCTTCATTCACCCTCCCCCAGGACTTCCCCCGAAGCTTGGAAGTTGTCATGAGACCTGGAATCCAAGGTTTTCATTTCTGCCCTGTTTGGTGTTGCTGGTGTGGGATGTTATGTGATGCTCAGCTAAACTGAACCTTTAGGAAAGATCAGGGAAGGGGATCAGGAGGGTGAAAAGGCAGAAGCTTTCCTAGATGTGGTGAAGGCATTCCAGGGCCGTTTTGTAAATCCTGGCTGTTAGTGAGCAAGGCAGTAACAGCTGGAAGCAGGTTGTAGGGAGACATTGAGGTAAAAAGAGTTTGGAAAGCAGAAGTCAGAGCTGAACTGTGTTTCACCCACTGTTATTGCTGGAATACTACATTGAAATGAATTTTGTGAAATCTCAAATAAATATCATGTATGGTGCCAAATTTTGATTTCTCTGTCAGGTTCAGGGCAAGTTTTCACTCCTCTTAAGGATGGGCTTACAATAGTTAGGAAATATTTGCTCTTTGACTTAGTTTTCTATCCCTTGTGACTGTAGAGAAGAGCTCAAAGCTGTATCCCAGATACATTCTTTAAGTTAAAAACATGAAGATAAAGCAACAAATCCACAAATATATTAAACTATATTTTTGTTATGATTTTTCTCAGTGCTAGTCCCATGACTTTTGTGGCTTAGAGTGGCGTTTGTAACTCCTGAATTCCAGAGACCTCAGTTGAGATCAGGGTCATAATTTGACCCGGTTACTGGTTTGATAGCAAAAGCTTCACACAGCCCTTGCTGTTGCTGGCTGTGCTGTGATAGTGTTTTGAAAAGGACCCCAAACAATAGAGAAAAAACCCACGTTTGAATCTCAAGGACAGCACAGCTGCAACATCCCGTCCTTTTGACTTTGTAGTTAACAGGAGCAGAGAGTCTGCTGTGGTTTGAATTTTATCTGTGTGACATTAGTGCTGTTGGTGAGTGACACCCTCCTGATGTGCGAGTGTGTTGTTTTGCAGGAGCCAGGCCAAAGAGACTCCAAAGGAACAGCATGGACAGCTTAGACCTCCTGAAGTTCCCTTCTGAAAAGGTAAGCAAAGATGTCTGGCCTCAAAGATTAAGTATCAGTAGGAATCTGTAATGGCTTGTTGACTGGCTTCATTTGCAGGGAAGTATGCAATTAGCAGATATCATTGGAGTCAATGGGATTAACCAGAGAGGGTTTCTAGAGGGCTTGGAGGAGAGGAACAGCTGGTCTAACTAAAAAGGCACTTAACAACTGAAAGCTGAAAAAGCCACTTCTATGCTTTTTTGAAAAAACAGCCCTTTATTGAGAGGATAATCATTAGCATTTTAGCCCCTTTAGTGGCTGGTGGCAAATCTCAGTGCCTTATTAGCCCAGTGGAGCGCTGCATTCGGCACAAGTAGGGAAGGAGAAGTCAGAAGCAGGAGATGGTGCGTTGCGGGAGGCAGAGGGTTTTGTTCCAAGGGGCTCTGAAGGATTGCCTCTGCTCTGGTTCGCTGCTGGAATTGTCAGATCCAAGTAGATCAGCATTTTCACAGTCTCCCTAGGGCAAAGGCTGCTTCTACATTCAGCTGGGAGGCACTGAGCCTTTCCACCTACAGGGATCATTTAAGTTTCTCAGAAAATCCTGCGCAGGATTGCTGGGTTTGCCCAGCAGCAGGCACTGGTGCTGCCGTGGGGCTCAGTCATGCCTGTTCTGAGAGGAGGTGGCCAGGCAGGCAGCCGGATTCTGCGTTTTTGGACTATCTTTGCCACAAATAATTTCTGTTCATCCAGTGCTTTCTAGGCACAGCTCTCCCAAGTGTCCTAGGGAGCATTTTCCCTTGTACTGAAGTGTCAGGGAGAGAAAAAGCTTGCCCGAGTTGCAGGTAGGTGCATATGGTCAATGGGAAACAACCTCAGGCTTGCAAAACCGCTTGGGTGTCTAAACATTCCAGTAAGCACTGGGAGGACCAGACAAGAGCTCCTCCCTGAATTAACTCTCTTTGGGATTTAAATGCCGAACACACTTCTGTATTTTTATTAATTCTCGCAGCTGCCCACTGGCGGTTTTGGCTCCTACCTGCTTTAACCATTGTGACTCCATCTCTGGGGTGTTGATAGCAGGGCCAGCAATGCCCAGTGTCAGGGAGACATTCGATTGTGTATCCTCATCGGAGCGACATGGCCCAGAGGATGCTGGCAGGGAGAGTTTTGCTGATGTGTGATTTGCTGTTAATGCTGTTCATTTCCTGCTCTTTGCTGTAAAAGCTGAACTTCATTCACTAGTCCAGGCAGGGTTATGGGATTTCAGGGATTTCACAGGGAGGATGGAGTAAACAGGAGCTGTGAGTAGTCTGTAACTGTGGAGTTAGGCAGGAGCTGCCCATTCCCCCTGCAGTGGTCCTGTGGGGTGTGTGTGAGTTCACCTCTTCTTGCAAGAGCATTTTGGATGTATTTCCCCTTCCCCTCTCCTGCTGCGACTCCTTGGGAGAGGTGATTACAGTCATAGGAAAGTGTTGTTTGCTTCAAGCTTGCTGTGGTGAGGGTAATAAGATTTTAAAGAATAAATCAATGGAGTAAAGTGTGATTTTTTTCAGCACCCTCTTGTTATCATCTCACCCTCTCTGCCCATCATCTCTGCCAGAGATAGCCTTCAAAGGCAGCAGGGACTCCTGTTACCACACAGGCCGGGAGCTTTTGTCCAGTGTGTCTGGGCAGAGTGTACTGCCAGGATGCGCCTGTGTCAGCTCTGAATGCCCCAGCAGATAGTGGGAACACTGCTTCCCTGATCACCCTGCTCTTTCCAACCTGTGCCTTACTCCTTGTTTTGAGCTTCCCTGGTTTTAGCTCCCAGCCATTGGTTCTTGTTTATTCCTCTCTCTACCAGACTAAAAATCTCTTTATCACATGCTGTTTTTTACCCTGAAGGTGCTTACGTGCCGTAATTGAGTCATCTATTCTTTTTGTCATGAACTAAACAGTTTGAGGCCTCTTAACTAAGGCAGTAAGGCATTGTAAGGCAGTTTCTTTCCAGTTCTGAAATCCGCCCTTGTGGCTGCTTTTCAAAATGTGGTCACCGTCCTGGCTGCAGTTGGTCCCATCAATAGCATCTAGGGAAATGAATCTCTCCTTACTTATTCTCACTAGTCCGCTTTGTATTGCAACAATCATTTGGAAAAGTAATTTTGTCTACGGCATCCCACTGTGCTGTTGGTGTGCTGTGACTTCAGATCTTGCTCAGTATCCTTGGCTTTTCAGTCTATGTGCTTTTAAATCCCAATCTCGTGGGCCCTTGGGTCACCTCCTGAGCTGTGCTCGAGCTTCTTTCACCTCCATGTAGTTGCTGCAGTGAGGACACCCCGGGGAGTCCCCTCAGTGCTTTATGTATGATAAAGAAGTGGTTTGCAGCCTGGAAACACTGAAGCACAAAGCATCGAACAGGTTTAGCACTCAGTTCCCACCGGTTACATGTAAAGTTCCTGGTGCCTTTAATAAGTATCTTTGAAGCTAAACGCTGAATACTCCTGCTGGTGCTTCTGTACGAGGACCTCATCTGTGTGACAACTGTAATGGGGCTTTTCTGATAATATAGGCAGGTCTATTAACTCGAGTCTTTTGACAGAGAATGGATAGAGTTCTGTGTGTCTCACAGGAAGGAGGGTGAGAATGGAGGAGCCAGGTGTGGGGCAGGACCTGGAAAAACAAGGTGAGGAACTGCAGTGAGAAGGGACAAAAACTAAAATTCAGGAGATTGTCACCTCCATTTCCCCATGTGTTACACAGGGGTGATAATCCTATATTTTATACGCCCATGTGAGCACTGAGCACAAGCATTTAAGAGACCAAAGGAGGACAGCAGTGAGAGAACAGGGGACTGCCTGTAACCATCTGCTGTAGTTAGTCATGTTACCCTGCAGTCCCCACGTGCTTCTGGTAGCATGAGCAAAAGAGGTGAATGGGACTCCAACCATTCATGTTAATCTGCCTTTTAGGAAACCACTGGGTAAGGCCCTTCTTGCTGAAGACAGTGGGAGACACTGAGGCAGGTGATGCTCCGTCTGTGCTGGGAGTCAAATCCTAGAGGTGGGAAATGTTGTGGAGCACCTAGCAGAGCCGTGTTCCCTGGGGCGTGGTTGGGTTATCCGTGGTTTGGTGTGGGCTGCTGCACAGCTGGGCTCGGGGAAGAAGTGAAGATACAGCAAGTGGAGGGACTTGTGCCAAGAGTTTGGCATCTTGGACAAAATGAACTTGCCACTCTGTTTGGAAGAGGTTTCTATGAGTGCAGTTGCCAGAAATCTCTAGCAGCAGTGACTGCTTCTGGACCTTTCATCCATCATTTCCTATGTCTGTAAATAAACCAGGCAGGCTTCTACCTGTGCTCTTAGGGTTTTTAAGGGGATGCTATTTCTCCCTGTGGAGAAGTTGACTGCTGTGTGTTGTTTGGGTGATGCTTCCTCTCCACTCATTAAAATCACATGCTGCAGAGACAGACAAAGTGTCCTCATTCAACCCTGCATATGACAAGCGGCAACTCACACCAGCTAAACTCCACATTAACTTCTTGCTTCTGTGCGTCTCCTGTTCTGTAGATGCTTGCCAGCAGATCTCCATGTAAAACTGAGACAGGCAGTTTGCGCAATGTCTGTTTCTTGCTTTCCCAAGGACCAGAATGGGGACAGCCATCACGTGGGAGACATGAAGATCTCGGGAAAAGAGTTCTTGTCACTACCTGCAAGGTCAAAGAAATACCGGGAGCACCAATCCAGTTCAGAGAGAAAGTCCCAGGGGTCGAGTACATCGCCACTGGATACCAGTGAAGTCCGAGTCCAGGTGTCACAGTCGGTAGGAAGATGATTTTTTCCTCCAGTACTGATCTGGGAATTTCTTAGAGCATATTTGTTCTTACCTCATTTCTAACCTGGTATGGGGGTGGCAGTAGAAAACAAAGCCTACATCTAGCTCTGCTGTTGACTATTTGGGCAACTATACGCAAATAATTTTGCCTTTTTGAACCTCAGCATCACTGTTCATTTAACAGAACAGTGGTACCAGCCTCCATCATGAACTGGTTTATGAGACCTTGGTATTTAGTGGTGATATTTGTAACCTTATCTTGAGGGATGTGATTCTAGACCTGAACTTTCCTGAGTTTGGGACTGTCAGGATGTGAGGCCTTGAATTCCAGAAAAACGCAGCAATTTGGACCCCTTGCTTTGTGGAGCCTGACTTTGATCAGCCTCCCAGTGTTGATGAGGAGTGGGCTTGTTGCTTTCAAGATACAGAGGCCTTTTCATGTTTTTGATGGTCAACCAAAAATGCTGGTTGCCTTTGCCAAATACGGGACCTTAGGTCCTGTTCCGTCTCTTCTCCTGATCACATTGATGGTCTCCAGAGTGGCAACGTGCAGTGGTCTCTGAATTCATCAATCATTAGACAGAGATGGTAGAAAACCATTGTCTGGGAGCTTCTCTTTGGAGGCAAGTTAGGGGTAGCATGCTTCCAAAAGATCAGAAGCTGGCCCTGATGTCAGTGATTTATGGGTTACTGGCATGCAGCAAGTCCTGTGTTGGGTGTTGAAGAGCTCTGACTCAGTCTGTGCTTGGCTCCCTTGAAGGTGGTGGGGATCCATGTCCTGGAAAGCTCTCCACATGCTTTTTTGATGTCTTTAGCCTGAACAATTGAGCTGTTTGTTAGGCTGTTATGTTCCAGTTATGTTCATGTTTGTTGTGACATGTGACAAATACAATGTACCGGGGAGGCTGCCTGCAGCTGTGTTGGGTTTGTTCTTGGTCTTGGAGACAGATCACACCCACAAACGATGGCATGTTTCTGGATCGTGGGAGGGGGCTTGGAGGTATTTGAACTCACTGATCTCAAGTGAGAAGCCCCAAGTCCTCAGCTTTTTGTTGCCAGGAGATGGAGCGTAACAGCAAAGATTTAATGATTGCACGGGTGTCTGAAAGTATTTGGGCTCTTGCTTTATATTGAGGCTGTAACACACTAGCACAGTCCTATGATCATGCAGTGATTCTAGATGGAATAAATCCAAGCCAGGAAAGATAGGCCTATTTTTTCTTGGCATTTAAGAAAAGCAAAATAAAATATTTTCATGCTGGGTAAGAAAAGGTCTGAGGTGCAGAGCTTGGGATGAAGCCTGTTTGTAGAGTGGGGATGCTTGGAAGTGTTTCTAGCAGCGAGTTGTTTGTTCCTGGGCTGTGGGTCACGAGGAGAGCATATCCTGTTGTACCTGTGTGCGTGTGCGCATATACGCATCCCTTTTTGACCACAGACGTTCCTGATTTTCAGTTCTCTGACCACTGGAGACAGGATCTTTACACCAACTGGTGGTTTTCTTTTTTTTTTTAGACTTCTCTGAGCTCATTCTTCATTCCCAACAGTGCTTGTGGAAATGTTCTAATAGGAAAAGCATTTCCTACTGCTCACCGGTGCAAACATGATCACTGAGAAGGAAAACAAAGCTCATCTGAGCCAGAAAGGAGACAGCAGCACAGGGGCATCCAAGGCAATAGAAAGGCAGAAAAAAACCCCTACTTCTGCCAGAAATAGCCTTGTATTTTTAACTCAGACGTTCAGCCAGAAACCAAACAAAAGCCATCAAGAGCAAGGCAAAAAGCATTCCTCAGGAGTGTAGTTGTGAATACACAAGTGGTGTCTAAGAAAAGCCCCAAGGGACATTGCCAACCACCAGTGACCTCGTGACAGTACACGTAGGGTTTTGGTGAATGTCCATGAAAGAGTAAATGTAGACATACACGCTCCAGTCACAGGAGATGCCTTTCATACGCCTGGGGTTTGTCCTGTTCCCGACTCTGATGGAAGTGTGTGAGCAGGAGAGGGACACGCTGCTCCTCCCCACCTTCAGGGGATGGGGGACTGCGCAACAGGGATGCAAAGCCCAGGGGCTGCTCTTGCAGAGGGGTGGCTCAGGCTCTTCCTGACTGCTGCAGCCTGATTCTTTTACCAGCTGTTCTCGCAAGGGCTCCTCCCTGTGTGCCCTGACTTTGCAGTATGCATGTGTTAGCTCCCTGCTTGCTTCGGATCTGTGAGCTGAGCCCCGAGAGTCCATTTTTAGTTCAGTTCTCAGGCATGCCTGGTGCACATGGTAGTAAAAACAGCATAGAATGAATTCAATAAGATATACAGAGCAGCAGTGTGTGAATGAAAAATGCTATCTTCCTCCTTGCAGACACTAAACGTGTCCGGTTTTATCTCAAGAGAGAGAATAGGTCAATGCATTCAATGGTGCTCGTGGCTGGAGGAGAAGGGTGCCCGCCTGTCTTTAAAGAGTGCCCCTTATTTGGTGTCTAATGGACCATAGACCATATCCCATAAAAATGACAGTGACAAGTGTTTCGTTGGGGTTTTCTTCAGGGCAGTAGATACACGGAGTTACACTGCATGATTGGGGTTGTGGTCTTTGTAGGCAGATGCTCTAAATGGCAGAGGGGAGTTTGTTTGGCAAAATGCAGGTGGGACACTAAAGCCTCCCAGTATTTCTCTTGGCAGGGCATCCTACCATCCTTCCTTACCAAGAAGGCTGGGAATCCCAACTAGATTTTGCCTCTGCCCTTGCACCCACAAAGTGAAGGCAGGTGTATTTATATCCCCTTTCCTAAAGTTTTCTGAAACAGCCTCAGAAATCCAGGAGGTCCCCAGCAGCCAGAGCTGGAGAGGCTTGGGAGGCATTTGAAATTCTGCCCTGGTCCCTTCAGTGCCTGGTGGTGCTGCGTGTGTGCCGTTTGTCCAGGCACAGGAATAAATGGTCCATCAGCCCCGTTGTGGGCAGCAGAGCCTCGCTGGCACGTGGCTTACACCAGCTGGTTGTCTTCAGACTCTGCCCTGCCACACATTAAATATCCTCCAGAAAGGGCTCTCTTGCCAGGAGAAGGTCTCTGCAGTATGTTCTGGTGGATGAGGCTGGGTCACTTCAGGTGAATTTTGTTTTGTGTTGGTGTTCCCAGGTGACAATTATGCCAGCCTGACTTTGGAGCATAGGCCAGACCACAGAACATTTAAAGTCAATGTCATCTTGCAGGTACTTGCCAAAAGCAAAGTAACCTATTGCCTTGTGTTCTGTGTTTGTCCCCATCTGTCAGAGGGCTACCAGGGCCACGTCAGTCTGCTGTGTGGGAGTGTGGGTGGGTTTTTTTGAAAAGCTGTAATTCCCATCCATGAGAGACTTTTTAAATCACATGTAGCAAACCCCACCCAAGATGGAAGAGAATCCTTCCCTGGTCAGGCTGTTCAGGCAAGAATCCCCCCCAGATTCCACATTTAGTGAATGCTCAAAACAAAAATCGTCTTTAATCCAGCAAGTCCTTAATTAGAGGTGAGCTCTAATGGTTGATTTAAGGTGCTTTTATGGGATGCCACAATACCTGCCGTCCCATCAGAAGGCCTGAACTCAGACTGCACGCAGTCCTGTGTGCTGCTCTCCTATGGTCGTTTGGGAACTGAAGGGATGTGTGCAGAGATGCCCAGGAAAAAAACTCATCCCAAGACTCCCAGACCCCAAACTGAGCGATGTCATCTCTGGATAAGTCCTGCTCCTAACACAGCCGCTGACCTCCTTCCGAAAGGGCCTTACTGCAGCGGGCAGGTCCCTGGGACAGGGAGGTTCTGCGGGCTCGGTGCCTGAGTCAGAGCTCCCAGGTTTGCTGCCCATCTCTGCCACCGACTGCCTCTTGTTTACCTCCCTCTTCTTCATCTGTGTGATGGGGTAATGCCGCTTCCCTGCCTACCCTGGGGAGGTTACAGAGGCGTGATGATGGCTGTAAAGTTGTTTGAGCTTTGGATGGCAGGAACTGTGGTGGTGTTATTAGCATTGGTGATGATGATGCTAATTACTGAGCTGCTGGGAAACTCCCCATGGGAGGAGGCGGGAGCGGGGAGGGGAGGCAGGAAAAAGTGAAGGGAGGCGAAGTGAGCTTGGGGATGGAGAGGATCCTGTCGGTGCTGGCAGCTCTGTCAGGCCCTGGGAGAAGGGCTCAGCCTGTTGGCAAAGCCGTGGGGATACTGGGATGGATAGGAGAAGCCATGGCCCAGGTGCTGCATAAGGTAGGAGAGCGTGCCAGGGCCTGCAGCAGATCCCTCTGTGCGGCTTAGACCTTCCTGCCACTGCTGTGCAAGATGCTGGTGTTGCACACAACAGAGAGCTCATGCGGGGGGGTTGTGTTGCTGATGGGGCTTTCTTACTCTCCTGTGGCTCCATGAAGTGGGGAAATTGCCCAGCTGTGGCTGGTGGTTGCCAGGACGAGAGGGACCGGCACTGCCTGGGTCTGGGGAACGGACAAGGACAAGGACAAGGTCCTCTTCACCTTTGAGGTCACATCTGGAGCTCCCGTGGGAATACTCAGGGCTGTGAGTGCCTGTTCTCCACAGGCAGAGCAGAGGTGGGTTTAGTCTGGGAGAAGCTGGTGAAAGTGAGACACATTTGGTCACATTTTCTCTCTGTTGAAGCAGAGCCCTGAGCCAAAGTGGTCTCATTAGAGCTCGGTCCCTGTGCCTGCAGTCGCGGGCAGCCAGATCCAGGTGCTCCCTGGGACTCATGCAGTGCACACCTTCTGAGTTTCCTCTCCTTTAAAAGTAACATCAAAGCAGAAGGTTTTGTACCACATGAAGCTTGTAGACATCAAAGGCTAGCTCATAAATTTAACCCCTCTGTTCTGCTGTGGAGAAGGTTATAATGCTCCGGCTCTTGATTGACTTAGTAACAGCTGTATTTTAGAGGGTTACGAGAAGGATGGGATTTTTCTAACACTTCAGAAATATCAGAGGTTGTGTATCCCCCAACCCCCTGTCTGAGAGAGCAACCACTGTGG